ATGAAGCTTTTTTGTCATACATGAAGAAAAAGCTTGAACAAACAATTAAAAAAAAACAACTGAAAAATTAAAAAAATAAATAAAAAATAAATATGGTAAATTAAGTGCAAACATGCAAAACAATGGCATATAAAGGACGTATGATTGGAAAAGACAAAACGTTAAAAGAAAGTGCAAGCCTCCCAAAACCGAATAGGAGCAAAAGCAAGGAAAAAATGAAATGGAAAAAACACAACTACCCCGACTATAAAAAAAAAAAAGAAAAAGAAAAAAAGAAAGAGATGATTAGCCTTTAAAAAATAATGATGAATAGAAAAAAAAAATAAACACGAAATGAAAAGAAAAAAGGCAAAAGAACATCGTCATACGTAAAGAAAATTTAACATACATCCATTTAGAATAGTAAAGGTGAAAGTTATGGCTTTGTTATGGCAATAGTTTATAATTTAGCAATATGACATAACGGAAACGTGGAGGAAAAAAAAATACATTAGTTTCTTTTTTATAATAGAATTTAGGATTAATTACAAAAATATCTCCCGAATTAGATCTCTTATAACACTTTATCCCCTGATCTTTAAAATGTAACATCTGTTTCCCTTAAATAATAAAATGTTACCAAAAAAACCCCCCTATTAAATTTTTAACGGAAATTAAAATTTAACTAGTTTTTTTAAATAAACACCGGCATATATTATATGACATATTGTGTAAATACTTGAAAAACAAAGCGAGAGTAAGCAAGCTCACTTTAATAAGTTATTTTAAGAGTATTTTGGTAACTCTATAATTTGAAATTTAAACAAAATTTAAAACTAATAAATTTGGACTTTTAATAACGAAATATTCATCATTAAATTAATGTAAACTAAAAATTTTATGAATCTTGTTTTCAGAATTAAAAATTTATGAAGTTATTTTGAATGGAGGGGCCATTTTTGTTAAAGTTTATGAAGTTGTTATTTATGTGACACGTGTCAAAAAATAACAAATTTTTTAAACAGATGGGGCATTTTTCTTAATTTTTCATTGTTTAGAAAGAACAAATGTTATGTTTTAAAAATCACGGGACAAAGTATTACAAGAGACATAATTCAGAGAGAATTTTTGTAATTAATCCTAAAATTTTACTTTGTAATTAAGTTTGCATAATTATCTCTTTTTGTAATTTTATGTGAGGGTTGTAATCGAAAATTTTAATTTAAAAGGGGATGTGAAGAGAAAAAAAAGTGTAAACAGAACAGGCCTAGTTATTATGATATGAGAAAAAAGAAAACAATTACCGCCAAAGCAACAGTGATCTCGTGGGAGAAAGGCTGTCCATCGCTCTGAGAATTTCTAACTAAAGACCATAATTTAGAAGATCACGTTAAAGGAATATGGGCTTAAAATCGGTTTGCTGAATTTTAAACTTAATTATGAGGTAATTTTTCACAATTACTCAATTTTGGGTGCATGAAAGAAATGCCGCATATATTTCTTCTAAATTGATTCATGCCATTAGAAAAAAGTTCTTATAGAGAATGCCATATAGATAACAAACGAAACCAACAAGAGTAACCACCGATGTAGGCCGACGGCTGATATCCTACCATGACACTTATAGTATGATTACCTAGTAGGCATGAATCGAAGTAGGCAAGATTCAGATTCAGAGTGGGTAAAATTCAGAATGAAAAATCAGAGTCAATTAAGTTATTTACTTGGAGACAAAATTCAAAATTAGAGTAACTACAAATCTCATTCATGCATTTACTTACATCCAGATTCAGAATAAACTAGTATAAAAATACTAATATATCTTTAAAGTAAATTTTATATTTTTAATTCAAAAAATAAATTGTGTACTTATTATATTAAAATTAATCATAATTAAAATATTTATTGCACAACTATTTAAAATATAAAAATAAATAAAAAAAAATAAGTGTTAAAAATGAAAAAATATTATTAATTTATTCAACAAAATAAAATACATGTAAACTGGGCGCATAATAGTAATTTAATGTCAATATTAGGAATGTGAGTCCCAATCCCAAAGGGGGCATGAGATTGCCAATCCCATTTCTCAATCCTAAATTTGAGTGGGGCCTACTAATCCATTGCTATTTCCGGATAAAAAATAACAAATAAACATGAGATTGACTCACATTTTCCACTCCCCACTTCCATTCCCCAATCTCGGTAAGTAAACATGCCATTAGAAATAGCATGCCACGATACTAAAAATTTCAACACCTAGAGATATTGTTGATATTGTTAAATATTTGACAGAATCTGTGCAAATTAACGACTAAAATTGGAAATATTTGAAATTTAGAGACTGTTTATGGAACTTACATTTTATTTTTTTGTATTGTTTTAGCTCTTAAACTTTAAATGTTTCCAATTTTAGTCCCTAATTTTAATAGATTATGTCAAATATTTAACCACAGAAGGACCTAAATTGAAACAAACTAAAACTTTAAGAACCAGCTGTGGGACATTTTAAAAAGTCAAGTGGAATTGAGAGTAAAACCTAGAGACCATTGTGGGTTTAGTCCAAAAAAAACCGCACACATGCACATATCATGGGAAAAAAAGCCAAGACATCACAAAAGAAAAACAAAAGCCAAAAAAATAAAAAATAAAAACTACAAAAAAAGGACTAACAAAGAAAAAAGGCCAAAGTAGCAAGATCAAGAAGGAAATGGCATCGGCCAGGTTGATAAGGTGCGCGAATGCCGCTTGAGGTGGTACGGGCATGTCCAACGTAGACTGCTAGAAGCACCAACTCGTGCTTGGGAGGACATTCTTATACCTAATACTAGGAGAAAGACAGGTAGACCAAGAATTACGTGGACCAAAGTAGTTAAGAAAGACATTCTAGATCTAGGCCTTCAGGAAAGTTTAATTTCGAACAGAGCTACGTGCAAAAGTGAAATCCATATAGCCAACCCCAATTAAGTCGGGATTAAGGCTTGTTGTTGTTGTTGTACTCCAATTCGAAAGCGTTGGACAATCGTTACTTGGTACCAGTCAAAAGCAAACAATGAGGCAAAGACAGTCGCAACAAGAGTAGTCGCCTGAGGCATGAGCTCATCATGTTGGAAGGGACCTGACGACCTATTAAGCAATAATGTGAGTGATGACCGTGGACGCAATGACAATGACTTAGACGACAACTAGAGGTGAAAGTTCGGACCGGCAGCCCAAAATAAACTTCAGGCCGAGCTAGCTCGACTCTAAAGGGGGAAAGGTTGGCCCCAGCCTGGCCTTAAAGCCCGATAGTCTTAGGGCCTGCTGATTCAGAGTTTTATACGCATTTTTTATTTTTTTCCTTTTTAAAAAAAGGTGTGTACAGGCTAGGCCAACCATAATAAGATTTTGGGCTTGAAACCTCGATCCAGTCCATTCTTGCACCTCTAGCGACAACGATAGCGCGGGATGGAGGAAAGAGCATCAACTCTATAAACTATAAGCCAAATCTAACCAAGTTGTCCAAAATCAATCATCATGTCAAAAGTTGTCAGAAAAAAAAGACGTGAGCATATGCCAATTAATGAGGATTAGCTTTGTGACTTTACATATTAGAGCCCGACCGCCTTTTTATGTTGAAATTGTAAGTCAAATGGATGGATGATTTATGTGGGACTAAGTAGACCAGGGACTCATTTAGGGATGTTTTATAACTCAAAGATTAAAGTAGCATTTGACCTACAATTGCGACTAAAAATGAGATTAATCCTAGATTTAATCTTACAATTAATGCTACGTCAGACATTTCGTCACTATTATAGGCAGATCTAAAAGGAAGGGTGGGTTTGTGAATGCTTTAATTTAGTTAACAGAGTGAAATGAACATGTTTAGAACATCAAGTGAGAAGTTGACATGAAGTACATTATTCGAGCGACATTAAAGATAAATATTTTAGAATTTTGGAGGGAATTATTTAATAGGATAAACTTTAGACTTAGTGAAGATAATTAGTCTTTTTAAGAATAAAATAAATGACCAGAATTTTGAGTGAGATGGTAATTTTGGAGAAATGATTCTAAAACATATCGTGCTTCTCCCTTTTCCCTTGATTGTGTCACCATTGTGTTTGTTTCACTTGCGAAAGTCACAAACGGCAACCTCATCCTGATGGGAAGTAGTGCAGCTGCCATGTCATGAAGTAACTCACCACGATCTCAGTTGGTATCTCCTGCAGGTTGCAACGCCAGCAACAACTAGGTTACGGACTAACAGGTCCAAATTCAGCCATCTATCCATATCCAGTCAATATGGTTGCTGTAGACTCATGAAACTTTTTAATGTTGACAATGGCGCAGAGAATCGTACTTAAAATATATATACATCTATCCATACCGGGCTTCTCCCTTCCACTCTCTCCTATAAGGCCCATTAGGCATTGCTTTTAGAAGCCAGTTTTCGCTTCTTATAAGAATCTAATACAGATGAAGGTGTTTGGTAAATCGTGCTTTGGTACCCAAAAAAAATACTACTAAAAAATCATGATTTCAACCAAATTATGCAAAGCACACTTAAAAAAAATAAAAATAAAAAAAAAACAAAACAAAATTCAAAATCCATTTCAATCTTCAAATCTAAATTTAAAGCTTCGGACTATCAAAGTCAAGACGACCACACAAACATTCAATCATCCTCTCACTTCCAACCACTGTCATGTCGTTCACAACTTGTTTGTTCCTCTTCTTGAGGAAATTATACTAAAAGAAAGCTAATCAATTTCAGAAAAACATGCAATTAAAAACGAGAAGCTCGAGAACATAATACTAATGTGTCATAGGCATAGTATAGGCGCACTTTGTTAGCTTGAACCTGCTCGGAAGCCAAGCATCACAATCAAAGCTCTTGTTACAAGGCTCATCGCCACCAAATAAATTATTAGGAAGGAAAAATCCATGTACACCTCACGATATGTCTAATTCCATTCTATTTTGATGATGATAAAAGCAAACAATAGCATACAACAATCTCAAAACTTGTAAGTTACCTGGTTTTCAATTGCATTGGCCATCCATCGGAACTCTTCCATAACAGGCTCGGGATACAAAGCAGCAGGTTTGCTTCATTATTATCAGCAGGTTCGTACCGTTTGGTCTTTACCAACAGGTTTCACAAAATTTGTTCTTTGCCATGCCTAAGAACGACTCCAATTAGTTAACTGACAGTACTTCAAAAAAGAAAAAAAAATACTGAAGCTTGCTTCTTACGTCTAACATACTAGCTACAAAGCCGTAATCAAATTCTCATCAAAACTATGATTTCGAATCCACGATCTCAAAATAAAGTATAAACTTTGATCAAAACAAACAAACCTACGGCATAGTGAACATATTTATGCGATTTAAAATTCTTTTGAACATTTGCTAAAAAAAAATTTCGGACACGTTTGGAACATATTTATGCGATTTAAAATTCTTTTGAACATTTGCTAAAAAAAAATCTTCGGACACGTTTGGTGCAGAATTAAAATTATTTTTAATTTAAGTGTATTTTTTTTTTTTTTTTTGAGAAAATACAATAACGAATCATAAATGATTCGAATCGGGTACAAATCCCCCGACTAAACAACCCCTCATCTTTTTCATTGTTTGCAGATGACAAGTGAAAGTAGCCCAAAACCATCCATTATCGGGGAAAAAAATGCAAAACCAAGAAGATACCTAAGGATCTGATGAAAAAGTAAATCTTTCATAACAAACTTTAAAAGAAAAATAAATAAATAAATAAAGCGAGATGGGTACCAGAGTGGCCTTCATGCCTAACCGGACGCTTGCGTTCCCTCTTCCGAACTCTTTAACGATTAAAAGGTATTTCTTCCTCGCGATCTGCCGGATTAACTTTCATTCTCTAAGGCACCGGACCCGACAGATCTAAAACTAATGTTGGGAGAGATAGTGCGAGCCGTCAGAAGAAAGATGTTCGTGTTTGAAACCCTATCCTTGTTGGGCTTCCAAACCCCTACCCTATCCTTCCCTTATGTTACACTTAAACCATCGACACCAAAAGACCATAATATACTTTACCTTTTTACTACACGTCGTCTATGAGTTTACTGACTAATAACGACATGGCATTGTCGCTTATGATAACTCGGACATTTTTTGCGTCCTCTTAAGTCGTGTAAATTACTTGGCCATTCGGAAAGGTAGGCTTTTAATTCGTTACATGATCACCACTGAGGTGATAACCAATTATTGGAGTGTGATTCGATATATTTTATTTTATTTTGTAAGATACATGATAAATAACTTACTACGGTAGCTTTGCTTGGTAGGTTCAAAGTGTATGGTGACTACATAACTAGTATTGAATTGCCCTGGCATTAAATATAAGGGTCCGTTTGGAAGCTGTATTCTGACTCAGGATTTTGGGTCACGTGAGAGAATCTACGTTTGGTGGCCCAAAATCTAGGAACTGACCCAGAATCAAAAGAGAGCATTTTGAGATCACTTGATCCTGATTCCAAAATCAGGGGGGGCCTCCTACCCCAACGTACTCCTACCGACCATTTTTCCCTTGGCTAGAGAATCTCCAGCTTTCTCTGTTAACTTCACGCGTGAGTTTGCAGAGCATCCCAGCTTTTTCATTTTTCTCCTATCTTTTCTTTCAGTTTTCACTCCTCGTCCCTGTGGACTCCTCTTTGCATTCACATCCCAACCCACGGCGGACCCCTCTTCTGGTGTTGATGAGAAATGCTTCAAGTGCTCGAGTGATTGTGAGCAATCGACGGAAGCTCCACATTCGGTACCAATTTCACCGATACTACGAAGGTAAGGCCATTTATCGCCTTCACCGGAGAGGAAACAGACGGGGAATTTACAAAAGTTCTACATCTGTCTTTGGAGCTCTGCCGGCGGTGTCCTCCATCTCCTCATCGGACTCGAATCAGGTACGGGTATGTCATCCTCACTTTATTTTCAATTTTGTGCGTAAAGATCATTACCTGGAATGGGAGATGTTCGAACGGCATCATGTGTGGTTTTTCTCTTGCTCATGTTTTTCCAACAGCCTGCTTCTTCGTTATTTTGTTGACATTTATGTGGTGTGTACATATCAGGAAGTGGATTGATTTATGGCCAATTAGTTTGTTGTGTGTCACGAGAGGATTTTGCTTCCTCTGTTTTCACTTTGTTGCTTATGTTGATGGATTTTCTAGATCTTTTTAGTGGATTTTGTGGATCTGATTTGAGATTTGCATGTGGAGTTTTATGTTCTTAAAATTGTTTCACTTCGTTGATCCTTTTTTTTAAAGATTTTTTTTCACGTTCTTAACATTAGTTGATCTATTGCATCCTTTCCAGTTTTTGTTTTCAAGTTTTAGTATTTTCTTTTGTTTAAGTATTTGATAATCTTGCCAAGTGTTTCTACTCATGTGAATATGACTGCTATATTATGATAACTCTCCCTCTCATTTTCAAGCTTTATTTTCCATGAACATGACCTTTTCCCTTGTTCTTTACCTCTGTTTTTGTTGTGCGTTTGATGACCAATAATTTCATATTCCGAAACCTGAAATGTTGGACTATAGTTCTCATCTTCACAGATTTGGTCGCTTCATCTTTGACTTACTACTTTTTTTGTCTGGTGGTGGTAGTTAGTCAAGTTTGGTCTTGTTTCTTCTTTGGTGGGCACGTTTGTATGGCCACTTTAGTTTCAGAAGTTGTAAAAGGCAATGATAATTTTGAGATTGCGTGAAAAACAGGGCATCACATAAATGGATGGTTTTTTTGAGTGTCTTCATTATATTAGAAGGTTTTTTTATCTTGTGTGGTACGGTGGTGGACTGTTTTTGCTTCTTAAATTGTCGGTCACTTCTCTTTCATGTTCTTGTTTGTGATTTTTTGTGGGTTTCACTTTTTTGTGGTTTGAAGCTTGTGTCCTATTTTTGCACGCATTGGACTCCTCTTGCTTGTCCTATGCGTATGTAGATGCCTAAGAAAAACCTAGAGGAGAGGCCGTTGTATTGGAATCCTGCAGCAGAGGAGTTTCTGCTTGAGCGTCTATACGAATACAATGACATAAACCACGGGAAGGTACCAGATTCTCGGGATTACAACCAATGGGCTGCTCGGATGGTCACTTTTTTCGATGGATATGTACCCGATAGTGAGCGACTGAGGGAGAAACGCCGCTGACTTAGAAACCTTTACTCAACGTATAAAACGCTACAAAACCATACTGGAGTAGGGTGGGATCCTATTACTAAAACTTTTACATGCTCGGAGGAACTGTGGACATCTCTTTGTAAGGTAATATGTGTGATTCATTGCGCCTCCATTAGTGATAATGCGATAGAGGTTACACTTTCGTAGCTAAGTGTAAGAAACTTACAAATTTCATTCTAATTTTGTTAGAGACATCGTGAAGCGAAAACGTTTTTCACACACGGTTTGAAGCATACTGAGACGTACTTGGCGGCCGTTTTCCCTTCAAGAGTTATGGCATCCGGTTCAGCCGCATATCACCATGTCGCCCATGTTGAGCCAATGGATAATGTTGCTGCTGGGGATGAACAACCACAACCTCACCAGAATGTTCCTTCCCAAAACAGTGATGATGATGAGATGCCTAATGAGCTTCGCAACCGCGTGGAAAGTTTTGGAAGGCAGATGACATCTAATATCGCCTCATCATCATAGGTGATAAGAAAGAAACAGATAAGGGCACGCAAATCCAATGACAGTTCACGGGAGGAGTTGCTTGATTTCTGTAGGGACATTCGTTCAAGCAAAGAGACCCTGCCGAGTAACAACACTGTCAATGGACCAAATGAAATGGATATGATTATAGCGTCACTCAAGGAAATGGGAATTAACCCGCGTACGTATGCCCATGCGTTTGAAAAAATAATGGCGTCTCCCACGTGGCAGGTAGCATGGCATAAACTGGATGAACCCGTTAGGAGAGTTTTTTAAGCGACTTTGTTGATGTGCCAAAAACCCCCTATCCATATGAGGTGCCTAATCCATATAGCCAGCGGCCTCATAACTTCTCTCCCGATCCAAATCCATACACCCAGTGGCCACAGTCCTTCCAGCAGCCATCAAACCCCTATAGTCAGCCCCCTAACCCATACCACCAGCCTCTACCAGCCTTCAATCCACCTAGCCCTTAGATGTCTAGTATGATGTTTCTACTTACAAAATTAAATGGTTGATTTTCCCTTGCTATTAGACCACGGATTAGTGCAACCTACCATGTTGTCGTATGTAAGCGAGATTTTGAGACTATTGTTGGTGTATCAATTTACTTTCATTCTTTGTTGTTTGAGACTGTATTCTATACTATTGTTGTATACTGTGTTGCTATATTATATTAAATGGTGGTTTTTTCATTATAAACTAGTGTATGAGAATTTTTCATTAGTCACTGTTGTTTTTCTTGGGTGCTATGGAAATGGAGCACACGGCAGGGTGGTTCACTTGGGAATGTGGGCTGCTGTTGCTCTGGAAATGGAGCACATATCAGGAGGGTTATGGCTTGGGAAGGTGGGCTGGAAAATGGGGGCTGCTGATGTTCTGGAAATGGAGCACACGGCAGATGTGTTCACTTGGGTCTGGGACCTTTTGTTGCTCTGGAAAATAAGGTTATGGCTTGGGAAGGTGGGCTGGAAAATGGGGGCTGCTGATGTTCTGAAAATGGAGCACACGGTAGATGTGTTCACTTGGGTCTGGGACCTTTTGTTGCTCTGGAAAATGGAGCACACAATAGGTGGTGGGCTGTTGTTGCTCTGGAAAATAAAAGGAGCACACGGCAGATCTGTTTATGTATCTATTTATTGCCTTTTCATCATTCTCATGTTGTTCTTTGTTCTCCTTTCTTTGAATCTCCATGTGGTCAAGAGAATTTTGTGCATTTCGTCTAATCGTTTTTGAGTCTGTCAATATATCAGAGAGAAGAAGTGGTTTTATAAAATTTGTTCATTTTGTAGGATATGAAAGATAAACATGCCTTAGATGAGCTTATATTACCATGCTGCTGCTTTGACACATTGATTAGTGTATTGCATCAAATAATAATTGCGTTGTTCTTTTTTCTTTTTTTTTCTCTAAACCAACAGGATGCAGCCCGAAAATGAGGAACGCGATAGAACAGCGTCTTCAAGGCGTCGACAGAGATTTAAGGCCGCAATAGGAGTTGTCACGGCTGCAGCCGCTTATTTGTCTATTGACATAGTAAGAAGGCCGATGCACAATTCTTCATTAAGGGGCATGGACAAGGTAAATGAGCTATTAGCAAACATCAATGAGAATGCAATGTTTAACAAAGTGCGTATGGGACCAAGTGATTTTATGATTCTATGTGAAGTGCTAACTGAGAAAGGTTTGCTACGACCCTCATACAACATGAGCGTACCTGAACAATTATTTGTGTTCTTAACAATCATTTCACAAAGTCAAAGTAATCATGAATCACAAGACGCCTGGCAACATCCAGGGGAGACTATATCACACAAGTTTACTGAAGTTTTAGATGCTATTTGTGCACTACATGAATTCATTAAGCCCCCAAATTATGACAAAGTGCCCAAATTTCTACGTGCCAACCGTCAGAGATATGGTACATGGTTCGACGTAAGTTGTGTTACTCTTTTACGTATAATTTTTAACTACATATAATTGATTTCCCCTAATAATACGTCGATAATTATGTTTGTGTGAAACTTATGTGCAAAACTTTTGCTTGAAATGATCAGGACTGTGTAGGCGCACTTGACGGTACTCATGTACCTTGCACACCAATTGGTGTTCATAATCCAACGGCTTATCGAAATAGAAAGGGTGTGAACTCGCAGAACATATTGGCAGCCTGTTCATTTGATATGAAGTTCACATACATATTATCCGGTTGGGAAGGTTCAGCCCACGATGCTCAAGTGCTCACGGATGCACTTGACAATCCTAGGTCTCAGTTCCCACGTATCCCACCAGGTTACACTTATGTCTTCTTACTTATGCCTATTTATTGTTACCGACCTTCAATTTACAGCCTAATTTGGATATGCTACACAGGAAAATACTATGTTGTTGATGCAGTGTATGTGAACAATGATCGTTTTCTCGCTCCGTACAGAGGGGGACTTACCATTTGCCTGATTACATAAGGAGAAGTGGTGGATTTCGGGGACCTAGGGATATTTTTAACTACAAACACTCATCGTTGAGAAATTGTATAGAGTGAACATTTGGGGTTTGGAATGCTAGATTCCCTATCCTAAGGCAGCCTATTAATACATATCCAATGGATAAACAAGTGAAAATTCCAGTTGCCTGTGCAATACTACATAATTTCATTCGCATGGTTAATGAGGGGGATCCGCTTCTAAGTCAATACGACCGGGATGGTATACCTGTAAGTGAAATAGATCCAAACAATGAAGATGAGTTTGATGACGATGACAATGATGGCAATGTCCCTGAAGGCCCAGTTGTAACAGCATGTAGTGTTAGTCGTACAAAGATGTGTCGTTTTAGGGATCGCTTTGCGAATGAAATGTGGGTAGAATACCAGGGAAGCCGTGGAAGACAAGTTTGAAAATATATAACAACAATGACAATTTACCTCTGTTATTTGTCTAATTTTTGGCTAATGCACTATTTTTTTTTTCCATTTATTTGTGTTTTTACTTATTATAATTTTGAGTTACAATTTTTTGCATTTATTGCTCTCTAATATTCGTTCTCTTACTTATATTTTGAAATATATTTTTTAAAATTACACGTAATGTAATTTACATGGCCAAAAGATGGTTATTATTTTTGTCATGGTTCAAAATAAAAAAACAACACAACCAAACACTAGTTTGAATCATGATTCAGTTTAGAATCAGAATCATGCTTGCACACATCTAAACAAAGGTTTGAATCACCATGAATTATGATTCAAATCATGAATCATGATTCTGAATCCAAAGACTCAAATCACCATACTTTCAATCCTTATACCAAATGGGAACTAAAAAAAACGACCAAAATAGTAGAAAGAGTGAGACACGATAGCGTTTTTGTCGTAGCTTTGACCTTTTTTTTTTATAACTTTTGGTGGTTTTTGTTTGGTCTTTTTATGTTCACTTTTTCCTTTTTCTCTTTTTTCTCAAAGTTTTATATTCTTCATACTTTCTTTATTTTTAACTTCTTTTTCTTTCATTTACCTCAATTAATTTTTTTTTCAACTGTTATCCTACTTAAATATTTCTTTCAGATCATGCTCTAACATAATATTATATTAAAATCTATTTTCATAAATTTCTTTCTAATTGTCCCACTAAAATAAAATTTCTAAAAATTTCTACTTAAATATTTCTTTGAGTCTTTTTTTCTTGAAAAATGGTTTTGGTTCTTTGCTTCTTTCAATATTTTTTTTATGTTTCTCTTTTTGTTTTATTTTTATTTTTCATTTTCAAACACTTGAAATTAAAAAAAATGATGTGTTAGTAAATAACCTAGAATATGGACCATCATATGTTGCCTTTTTTCACTTTTTATCGTAATTTTAATGTTAAATCCTATCTTATTCAAATAGTAAATAGTAAATATAAAAAGAGTTGGTGAAAACTAATACTGTTCATTTTTTTGCAGTCATTTACGCACTATTTTGATGCTTTTTTTCCTGTGTCTCCTTTCTTTGCTTCTTTTATCTTTTCTTTTAGCTCTTTTATTTTTTTCTTTGTTTTTTATAACCTTTTTGGTGCTTTATTTTTTTTAACTTTTTTATTTCTTTCTTTTGTTTTGTATCTGTGTTAAATCCTAATCTTAATCCTAAGTATATAAAAAAAAGTAGATATTTAGTTTGTTGTTTACCATATGGTAGTTCTAAACATTGAGTTTTACGTGTTTTATTTTTTTCTATCATTTTTAAGTTTTAACTCCTTTATAATTTTCTTTTGTTATTTCATAATTTATGTTCATGATACGGTGGTTTTCAAAACGGTAAGTTTTTAGACGTTTTACTTTTGTCCGTTTATTTTTAAGTTTCAACTCCTTTATTTATTTATTTTTTTTACTTTGTTATCTTACAATTTAAAATTTTTTATAATGAAACATAATCTTTTCACTTAAACTAGTATTAAGATTCAAGCTCTATATTTTGTGGTGGAGTTAGGTGTAAAATAAGATTCAAGCTCTATATTTTGTGGTGGAGTTAGGTGTAAAATTTTTGTTAGGACGGGCATATTATCACTAAATATACACTCTTTTTAAAAATTTTCGTCTCTTTTTTTTTTCCTTGTTAATTTGTATTTTATGTCATAAAAATTTTAAGTTTAACTAAGTACGTGCAAAAAAAGAAAGGACGTATGTCTAACTCGTTTATATATATATATATATATAAACGAGTTAGACACACGTCCTTTCTTTTCCTTATTATTTAAGTCATGTTTAGGCTGCTTGGCTAATTATTTTTCTTAGTAAGTACATTAAGGGCCCATATAATAAAATTTGAGTTGAGATGTGACTTTGTATAAGAATTTTTTACTGTAATAAAAAATTAAATGTGATTATTTTTAAAATTTTTTTACTGTAATAAAACTCGAATTCTAAACTCAAATCGATGAAATAAACGATACTTAAATATTAATTTTACTAAGTACCGGTACTTGCATCTATCTTTTTTTTTTTTTTAACACTTTTGACATCATCAAATGCCTAACTACTGATGCCGCAGAAGAGACACGCTCGGAAAGCTGCCCAAAAACAATAGGCACTCAAACCCCATTTCGTCTCAGATTCGACCTTGTGTCTCGCGACAATAAACACTACTTCCACCACCATCGCGGCCCCGTTGCCAGCTTGTGGACGAAGATACAAGATCAGAAGCCTAGAGACGCACTAAAAGACAGTGTTGGGCTTCTAACTTAAACACTCTTATCCATTGGATTTGGTAATATGAATCCATTGGATTTGGTAACAATGCTTTTTTTTTTTTTTTGTTGTTGTTGTTGTTGATGATGTTCTCGATTTCAGGATATTTGTAATATTTGTAATATTTTTAGTCTTTCATTTACTGAACAAAGTCGTATGAGTATATGTTGGTAAGAGTTTGGCAAAGCCTTTCAAAAAGTTTCTACTATCTCTAAATCCAAGTATGGCATTTTTTTAGCAAAATCAAGCCCCCACGATCAATGATCGACCTTCCTCACGAACCACACCCACTCTTCTTTCTTAATAAAAATGGTATAGTATTCTAAGGCACCATTCATTTCACCGATTCGAATTTTGTTACAGTAAAAAACTCTCAGAAACAGTCCTATTTAACTTTTTTATTATAGTAAAAAGTTCTCACATAAAGTAATATCTCAACTCGAATTAAAAACTCGAATCAGCGAACTAAACGGACCCTAATTTCTAGCAAACACAATTTGAGACTCACCGGTATGACCATTTTCTGACTGTTAGATCTAATCAAAATTACATAAGCTTACGGGTGACAATTCGTGTTACGTGTCGTGTTTTGATCGTTTATTTCTAAATTTGTAGTCAATCCGAACACGATCCGTGACACAAAATTTTTTAAAAACCGCAACACAAATATGACACGACCACTTTACGGGTTGACACGACACGAAAATAACCCGTGACACGAAATTGACTCGTGAACTCGAAATTGACACGAAAATTATATACTTTTATTTAGTTTTTTACATATTAGAAATAACTTAAAATTCATAACACACTAAAATACAATAACATCCATTAAAATTAAACAAATAATAGTATAATATGTTGAGTATAACTATCATGATATCACAAGTTCATAATAAAATAAAAAATATGTAATGAAAAATATATGTTTTTTTTAGTTTTTTACGAGTTTTGTGTCGTGTTCGGATTAAGCGGGTCAAATCCGAAATTAACCTGTGTTTTTCGTGTCAATTTCAGGTCGACTCAATTTTGACCCGAACCTCTTTTTTCTCAACCCTAACCCGTGAAATTTGTGTCGTTTTCAAGTCGTGTTGTTGTATCATGACCCATATTACCGGCCCTACATCAACTTAAAAAAGTATGCAGAATTGACAGATTCTGACACCAAACAAGTTAAAAAAAAAAACACACACACACGCACACCAAACAAACAATCATGTTGTAGTCCTTGCCTAAGCCCACACAGTTGCTTAAGTCGACCTGTTTGTGTCACTTGCGTACAATTCAGCACCGCTAATATTACTTTCTTAATAAAAATGGTATACTATTCTAACAAAAATAATTTGAGACTCTAATAGGACTTCCCTATTAAAATGACCGTTTTTTTATTGTTAAATCCGATCAAAATCATATCAATTTAAAGAAAAAATATATAGAACTGACAGTATCTGACACTAAATAAGTTTAAAAAAAAACACACACACCCACCCCAAACAAACAATCATGTTGCAGTCCTTGCTTGAGCCCACACAGTTGCTTAAGTCGGTCTGCTTGTGTCACTTGCGTACAATTCAGCACCACTAATATTACTTTCTTTGACTCATCTTCATGCTTCGTTGCAAGTCTCGTATTATTATCAGGTTATCCATACGTGATACAGTCGAGAACATACACAAGCAAAGGAGAAGATGCACTAATTCCCCGCAAGAAACTAAAGCCAGAAAGAAAGAATAAATTTATAATGTCCCGCACTCAGCGCTCCAAGTTGGACGGTACCGCAGGGAATGAAGTTATTAAGCTCCAGAACCAAATTCATAAACTAAAAGGAAAGGAACCTAATTCAACACCTACTACTAGATTAGATCACCATCTTTACAATTTCGACTACTGTAATGTTACAAGTATATACAGAGTCAAAAAGCAGCCTCCATTAATCGTAATACTACTACCAATTTCTTTCAACGATGACGAAATGCCGGGACATTTTGCAAATGGAAAGAATACATAATGCCTGGTGGGTGCTGACCAAACATGGTTGAACAAGAGAGAAAAAACAATGGTCCATAAATGAGCGAAAAACCCGCCAATGCCAAAGAACCAATTTCACAGGTATAATGAAGCTACTACAATGTCTTCCCAAGCAGACAAGAACCGACTTTCATGGAACGCATGCAATTAGTTATACACGATGTGTTTGCCGTGCCAAGCCATTCACTGCTTCATTTATCCTGCTAAATACTAATTTAAGCGGAATACAAGCTATTACAGGACCCTTTGGTTTCTCAACAACTGATTTCATCTCCTCCAATTTCTTGCTACCAGTTAGTGATGATAGTTTCCTGATTTTCTTTGGCAATAGCCCAGATTTCTTTGTTTTCGCTGATTTGTGTGGTGAATTTTGTGGTTGCAATAGCAAATGCTTCGGAATTCTTCCCCTTCCTTTATTTCGCTTGACATAACCAATGTGAGCATCTTCAAATTCACCCTCCGCCGTCCTTAACAGACTATCACAGCAGCCATCCTCCAAAGACTCCACCGCGAGAGGGTGACCAACTATTGCTTTACCATGCAACTTACTCATTAGGGACACCAATGGAACATGGGATGGCCTATAGTTGGCTTTCACCTCAACGTTAACCTCATATAATGAGGAATCAAAAGGAAGATTTTTTATAGAGAAATCCGACATCCGATATCTGGAGTGAACTGTAAAGCGGGATTGGCGATAAGGAAGTAACCTCTGAGGTGGAAGTGAGCCATCAGGCAGAAGCTTCACCTCAGCAGTCAGCCCACTAATGTTAGGCTCCTTGTGTAACAGATGCTTGCTCCATCCCTGGGACCCATCACCCTGATCTTCATCAACTTGTAAGGGCTTCGTTTGTAAAGCACAGTCATGAGAACCAGAAAATCCGTTTATGCAATTGCAATCCAATTTCTTATCACAACCCTGAGATATTCCATCCGACGACTGCTCTATACCTGTCAAACAAGCATTGGATTTGTCATCCATGTTCACACATTTTGTAGAGTCTTGTTTTCTAGTTTTACTTATTTGCCTTGAATTCCTCTTGCCTTTTAACTGCCACTTTGAAGTACCTTTCTCTATCCTCTGCCCAATATTAGGATGCACAGCTTCTGAACTGGTAGAATTAGTCTCGTCAATGCCCTCACTTCTCAACAATACAGCTTCTACGAGACTACTTTGACTAGATTGCCTTTTTAATGCGCCAGCTTGAGGCTTCCCAGATGAACAATTAACAAATGTGGAAGAACCACCTGAATAGATGAAGAATTCGTATCAGAAGGCAATTCCACAAAGTTCTTGACTAAGCCTCATATTTAGGCACATAAGAAAGACTCTAAAATAGCAACAAAAGGAAAAGGGAAAGGAGAAAGGGATCCCAGGATGACTTGTATAGCATCTAAAATTACATACTTACCATGTCTATTGGATCCAAACAACATGAGAAAATTATTGAAGATGTCACAGAACGCGTCAATAGATACCATTTTCAATAATAATAAACAGAAAAAGCACAGAAGCAGAAGAAATACTGAGGATACAAGTACGAACACGCGCCCACCCGCAAAGGTAAACTATGGCTGATATAGGAACCCAGTAAACATATTTGCATTCGTGTGTGTGCACTTGCATGGATGTCTGTGTGTGTGTGCGCATGTGCATGTGTGTGTGTGAAAAGAGTTGGGGTGGGGGGGTGGGGCCGGTGGGTGTGTTTTTTTGGTGTTCGCATGTCATCTCAATGTCATCAATCAAAATGGCTAATATTATGTGGAACAGGGATAAAATTAAAAACCGCAGGCTCAGAGGTAACTACTACATCAAGTGTACCTGCAGAGTGCTTTTCCTCTCCAATGAATGGAACATCAAATAACCTATCAGAAGAATCATTCTCTGCAAATCCAGATATGCTGGAACTTTCATTCTCTTTCGTCTTGTTAATATGGGAAGTATCAGAAGCATTAAAAGAGGGCCCATTCTCACATGAAACTCCATTACAGTCTGAGCTATTTTTTATTACCACGGATACACTCCTCTTTGATTCAGTAGATTCTAACCCAGAAACCCTTGCATCAGATAATCCCCCAAGAGGTGAACGACATGAAGTTGGAAGTTGATCACAAATGACAGGAACAGACACCATAGCTGTACTCTCCAAAACCTTGGTCAGTGGACGCCGACGGTTTTTCTTTTTCAAAAACTCATGAACATTTGTCACTTGAGTTCTCTTTCTTTTCAAGGATGAGCTAACTCTGCTACCATGAACAGTAGTTTCATTAGACACACAGTTTCTGTTGTTTGTATCAGAGAGTGAAGCATTGTCTTGTTGAACTAACTCAAGCAGCCCTCCAACCTGAACCTTTCTTTTTGATGATATACCAATTCCCAGGTCCTCAAGCCCTCTCATTCGCTTCACTCCTTCTGTTCCATCATCCTCAGAATCATTTGGGGTTCTCCTTCTTCCCTGCAAAGATTGCACTTTAGAAGAACTAACATGATTTGGCCCTTCAAAAGATAAACCAGACTCAGATAATTCCCCAACCGTGTCTGAACTCTCTTCAGAGTTACTCACATCATCATCCATATCATCATTTGCGTTACCAGAATGAGAGATGGAAGGTGATTCTCTGGCTGAATTACCATTCTCACCACCCAAATTATTCATTCTAGTGTTGAAGTCCATATGATCCTTCTCCTGTCGAGCATTCTCAATCTCAAGAGCATGGAGAATAGCATCTTCTCTCCTTGCATATTTTACTGCCTTCTTATTTGAATTTGCTGCAGAAGCTTTTGCTTTTTCAATGCAATCATCATACTCTCCGCATCGAAATGCTTTCACCCTCTTTGACTTTTCAAGGTTATACCAATCTCTAAAAACAAAAATAACAGAATCAGTATACATTTACAAGCCAATAGAAAGCTAAAAAAAAACCCCCATTACAAGAATAAGCGTTTGAAAAGGCTCTTAAGACATTTTCATCAACAAACAAGAAGAAAATCACCACGCAATAAAAAGGAGCAGGAAGACAGCAGATTACATTTATATTAAAATCATATTGGCATACAATCCTGAAAACTGCTAAGTCAGACCCTCAAACTAAAATTGAAACTTAATATAGTTTCTAAGAGAGCAAGGGGTAGACCAAGAATTACTTGAGCCAACGTAGTTAGGCACAACTTTCAAGATCTAAGGCTTCAGGAGGGTCTCATGTTTAATAGAGCAGATTGAAAATGAGAAATTCATACAGCCGACCCCAATTAATTTGGGATTAAGGTGTATTTGTTGTTGTTGTTATAGTTTCCAGGCCAACTTTGACAACAAAACAAAATAAAAGGACTCTACCAGTACTAGTGTATCATCATATTATACCATAAACCAACAGAATTTCCTTAGTTGAGGATTTCTCATCCTCTGTTTATACTTTCTAAAGCTACCAAACACTATTAACAGGACAACAACTTACATTAACAGAACTTATCACAAAGTGTCAAAGGAACAATTTCTCGAGCTACCCACCAAACATAAAATTTGGGAAGGAAGAATTGCCTCACAAAGATTGCATCTTTGCAAAACTTTCGGTCACCATTGTAAATGACCAAACAACTTGCACCAAAAACCAACTAAAGCCTAACCCAATAAGATTACCAGTCCATCAAACCCACAAGTTTGAAGGTAACGCCACCAAACTTGCTATGGAAAATCATTCTTCTTCAAAATCCCATTAGCCCATTGAAAAACAACAATCTTTTCACAATAGCACTATCAAATGAGCCTAACCATAAATGCAACAAACCGTACTAGAACAAAAACGGAATCACTAAAAAATCGATAAACCAATATCAAAAACCAGAAAAGAAGTAAAAAAGAATACTCACACGCTAGCGTCCTCGCGACCCAGAAGCTTGACGGGAGTTCCCGATCTCGGGGAAACCAAGCAATTCTCAGACAACTCGTCGAGACCCAATATCCGACCCGGCCACCATGACCCGTTTCTGCGTCGGACCCAAACCAACCCACCCACCGACGCGTCAATACCCTTGTTACTGGCATCGCCAGAGCTTCCCATCTGAATGAACCTAGAAACCAATCCAACTCCGATCCAACCGAACCAGACAGAGAAAACCAGTGTCAACCCTCCATTAAACCGAAGAAAATCTCCCGCAGCCAAACGCCTAGAAGAAGAAACCCAAAAAAATATAAGAACCGTTCGAGTTTAGAATTCGAATACAAAATTTTTTTTTAAAATAATTATATTTAATTTTTATTTTAATAAAATTTTTTTATATAAAATTATATTTTAATTTTAATTAAAAATTTAAATTAACGAATTAAATAGATTTTAAAAATATATTAAGAGAGAAATGGCAAAAATGAAAATTAATAAATGAGTTAAAGACATTATAAACACTAAACAGACGCCTTTTTGGAGGTGAATAAGATCTGGTTCTCTATTTTGTTAAAACCCCAATCTCACAAATGTGGTCTTTAAAATTTAGTTTCAATCCCATTTTAATATGATTTTTTAAATATTACACAGTTAATTTTTGAGATTTTATTCTTTTTATGTTTAAATTTTTCAGTTAGTTTAGTATTAAATATTTGACGAAATATGTAGAACTTATAAATTAAAATTAAAAACATATACAGTTTAGAAATTAAAACAATACAAAAAACTTAGGGCCCGTTGGTAACGTTTTCAAAATTATTTTGTTTTCAGTATAAAAGTAAAAATGAGATTATTTTTAGAATTATTTTGGGACTGATTTTAAAATTACGTTTAGTTACTTTTTAAATATATTTTTTTGAGTATAATAAAAAAATGAAATCGTGTTTTGTTATAATTATTAATTAATATTATAACATTGTTAATAAGAACTAAAAAATGAAAACAGAAAAGAGAAAATAAAATTTCAATTATTTTTTAATTCCTTCACAAATACTATTTTCACTGTTTTTTGTTTTCATTTACGTTTTCTAAACATTTGTTAAACAAACACGAACCGTTTACATTTTTCTCTTAAAAGATGTGTAGAAATGTTTTCAAAAATAATTTAAAACCAATTCTAAATACACCCTAAAATTTAATTTTCGTTAGTTTCTTTAAAGATGTATCTAAAGGTGTGTAATTACAAAAGTAGTCCTTTGTGATATTGCAATTCCAAAACGTCCCTAAAAATCTATGATGATATCATATATGGTATTACTAGTAAAAAAAGCACGTGCAATGCAAGTGCTAGTTATAATAAAGCATGAATTTAACTATTATATTTATTATTTATTATAAAAATAATTTTATAAGATAGACAAATAAGTTTTAAAACTTGTCAGAGTTTATTAATTATAGCTTAAAAGATTTAGAAAGTTACGAAGAGAGAGTATAATAATTTTAAAATATTATAAATAATAGTGAATATTTTATTTGTTATTTAAAAAAATATAGCACAAGAAGAAGATATGCATAAAATGCATCTATATCATTAAAAACAAGTTATGAAATAAAAACTTGATGTAACGGGCTGTATTGCTGCAATCAATAGGTTTCATGGTGAGCAGTCGAGGAATCGAAGCTAATCCGGAGAAGGTGCAGGCACTCATCGACATGAAATCACCACAGAAACCAAAAGAAGTCCAGAAGCTAACAGGCTGTATTGCTGCAATCAATAGGTTCATTTCGCAATCTACAGATAAGTGCATACCATTCTTGGACACCCTGAGAGGAAGTAAGCTGTTTCAATGGACAGAGGGGTGTGAACACGCGTTCTAACAATTAAAGGAACACCTTGGGAAATGTCTACGGCAGGAGAGGTGCTAAGCCTGTACCTGGCGGTCTCTCAACACGCCGTAAGTTCGGTGCTGGTTCGCGAAGAGAAGAAGGTGCAGCTGCTAGTGTGTCACACTAGCAAACGCCTCCTCGACGCAGAGATGAGGTATCTGCAAATGGAAAAGCTCACCCTCGCGCTAGTGGTGACATCGAGAAAGCTACGCCATTATTTCCAGGCATATAGCATTCAGGTTTTGACAAACCATCCTCTCAGGTAGGTACTGCAAAAGCCCAATGCTTCTGGGAGACTCCTTAAGTGGTCCATAGAGTTCAGCCAGTTCGACATTGACTACAAGCCACAGATAGTCATCAAGGGCCAAGCCCTAGCCGACTTTGTTGCTGAGTTCACGGTGTTGCCAGACGAAGCAGAGGTTGTTGGCTGGCCTCTCAGATGGAAGCTCTACATCGACGGAAGCTCCAATGACAACGGCAGTGGAGCAGGATTGGTACTACATACCCCAGAGGGTCAGGTTTGAATTCCCTGCATCTAACAATGAAGCAGAATATGAAGCGTTGCTAGACAGACTCCGGTTAGCAGAACACCTAAAAGTGGAGGTTATAGACATCTTCAGCGATTTACAGCTAGTCGTGAACCAGGTGAAACGCCAATATCAAACCAGGGACAAAAAGATGGCAGTCTACCTTAAGAAGGTTAAAGAGGCCTTGGGAAAACTCACGGCCTACGACATACAACAAGTGCCAAGGGCAGAAAACAACAACGCTGACGCCCTTGCTAGGCTAGTCACCTCAAAGGATGCTGAGCTGTTGAAGCTAGTACACGTGGAAGTCTTAAAAGTCCCTTCCATAGAGGGGAAGCCTGAAGTCATGCCGATGAGTCGCCAGCCGAGCTGGAAGGACCCGATCATCAGGTATTTACTCGACGGTGAAATCCTAGAGGACAAACGGCAAGCAAAGAAGCTAAGGTACCAGGCGTCAAGATTCACCATGCACGATGATATTCTCTATCGAAAGGGATTTTTGACGCCCCTGCTCTGGTGCCTCGGTGAAAAAGAGGCAAAGCGGGTGCTCTTAGAAGTGCATGACAGGGTGTGTGGAAACCACGCGAGGGGGGGGGGGGGGAACCCAGGGGGGGGGGGGGGAGGGGGCAGTTCGTAGCTTATAAGGTGCTGAGGCATGGGTATTATTGGCCTAGCCTAAAAAAGGAAGCAGTGGAATATGCAAAGAAATGCGAAGGCTGCCAAAGGTACGCCCTCATCCCTCGACTGCATTCAGAAGATCTCACGTCAATAGTCTCCCTTTAGCCTTTTGCTAAATGGGAGATTGACCTCATCGGCCCATTACACAAGACCCCTGGGGCATACAAGTATGCCATTGTAGCTGTTGACTACTTCACGAAGTGGGTTGAAGCCGAGCCACTAACAACGATATCGGAGGAAAAATGTACAAACTTCATATAGAACAACATAGTCTGTCGGTTCGGTGTACCACATTCACTCATATCAGATAACGGGAGACAGTTTAACAATGATAACACTAACCAATTCTGTGAATTGTTGGGTATCCATAAAAACTTTTCCTCTGTTGTATATCCCCAGTCCAATGGACAGGTCGAGGTGGTCAATAAGATCATCAAAGTTACGCTAAAGAGGCGACTCGACAGCTACAAAGGAAAGTGGGCAGATGAGCTACCAAAGGTCCTATGGGCCTACAGGACGACCACAGGGGAAACTCCATTCTCAATGGCTTATGGGGTGAAAGCGGTCCTTCCGGTCGAGATATCCATTCCTACCAGCCGAGTGATACGGCATGAAAGAGGTAGGAACGTCGAGCGAATGGGCTTGGAGCTCGACCTTTTAGAGGAAAGGCGCACGGACGCGCAGTTAAGACTCGTCGCGTACCAAGCTAGAACTGCTAGGTACTACAACAGAAAGGTCAAGCATAAATGGTTCAAAGTAGGGGATCTCGTCTTACGAGTGGTAACCCCAAATACTAAGCCCAAGAACTCTGGGGCTCTGGGCCCAACTTGGGAAGGACCTTACATGATAAAGGAAGTTGTGGCTAATAGATCCTATCGACTCACAAAAATAAATGGTCGAGACATCAAGCACACATGAAATGCAGACTAGCTGAAGACTTACTACCAATAACGGCGAGAAAGGTCGACCTAAAGGTTACACTTAGCATTTTTGTTTCGTTGTCTATTTTATTTTTTGCAGGCTGAAAAGTCAACGTGTAAACTCTACATAAATAAAAGTCGGATTGAATTTTCTATTATCTGATCTATGCAAAATACTACATCACACTCTACTTGGCTCTACATACTCGAAGATCTACTATCTATGTCGACCGATAAATGTCGACCAATGTTGCGTCAAGGACAAGTCAAAGATTGTCTTTGACGAGGGGGCAATAAGGCCACCCCAAGGTCTGTAAAGGTGGTAAGAAGCCCTGGCTTAACCAAAAATTTGGCTGTTACAGAACAAAAAATTTAATGTCTAGGCCTGATGGTCCTCTAGGAATTATATATATGAGTAAATAAAAGAGAAGTCCTTATGGTGCTGCCCCATCCCCTGGACCCGCTCAGCATCCTCGGCACCTGGCGCTGTCTCGACCACCTCTACATCGTCATTGTCAGACTCGTTGAGGAAGGACAAGTCGACCTCTTGGCACTTTCTTTAGAAGCGGTCGAGAATCTGGTCCCCAGCAGACTTCATCAAGGAAAGTTGAAGCTCGTCAAACTCAACAGAGTCTTGGTAAGCATCGAGCCTCTGGGAAAGAAGATCCTCAAAGGCTTATGAGGATTTAAACTGTTCCACCCATTCCTCGACTATGTTCATGAACTATTAGGATGACTTGAAAGCCTCTAGCCGAGCGTCGACCGAACGACGAAACTCCTCAGAAGCCAGGAATTCCTCGACAACTTCCTTTTTCTTATATTGGAAGACGGGAGATGCAAGGTACGCCTCGACTGCTTTGGAGCACCCCTCATTGAGGCCCTTCTGGAAGCTATCGCTTTTTTCCTTGACGATCGCCTGCCCCCAGAGATCTAACTTTGGCTTTCTCAGCCTCTAATTTTGAGGAGAGCTCCTCCCGAGCAACATGCAGAGTTGAGATCTCCTCCTCCGCAGCCCTCGACAGGATGCCCTGCCTTAGCAAAGCGTCGAGCTCCACATAGTTCAGGAGCGTAGCTTCGAGAGCATGGACAACGAAAAATAAAGGGCATGGATAAGAAATCACAGATTAACTATGTAAGAACGGGGGTCGATAAGTGAGCAAACAAAACCTACCGAGATTTGGTGGATCACCGCTATATGAT